CATAAGTTGAGCTAAGGGCCCACAGGGTCATATAAACAGGTCACGTCAACACTAAAAATCTGCACTACGAGACCACATATATAGCCATGTGCTAAATACTATTTGGGTCAATTTTATTTCCTTTTCCAGTTTACTGTATATCGGGTAAGCTGAAAATAAGTTTCCCTTACCCAAATATCTTACGGTACTTGTGTCTAAATCTCAATTAAAAGGTGGAGCAAACCAGAGGCCGTTTGGTTGCGAACAAAGCGAAAAAAGAAAGGACTTAAAAACGCTTGTAATTGTTTTACTAAACTAAAAGGATCGGGGAGGGACAGAAGAGCCCGAAAAGAAAGCCTACAGACCAAAGAAAAATATCGGAGCAATTCCTTTTACCATTAGGTTGGCTCACAAGAAAGCCCTTCCGTATATCGGTTTTATTGGCGTACTTGGCAAGGGCACTATAAAGCGAATATATTCAAGAATTTGTCCATCACTCACCTCCAGATTCAGAACACTCGGGACTACGAAATATTAGGCCAGTCGGATTAATCCGGCGAAATTTCGCCTTCTCTAGACACTGATATCCATTAGCAGTTTTTATTAAATCACAGTGGGTATTAATCTGTTGAGGCGTTCCTTTGTATTAATCACGAGGTTGTTTTAATCAAGCTGAAAGGCCGACAAAACAAGTAGCGCTACTTGCTTTGTTTGCCTTTGTCTAGATCATTGTCTTCAATAGCAAGAGAGCGTACAGAACTCCGCCACTATAGTGGCAGCAAAGCTCCTCTTCAGATTAATGTCGTTCGCATGGACTTTGTGCGCGTGCGTCCAGTTAGCTAAGGGTTCAGTGTCGGTTAGCACCAGATTCTCACTACACCGATGGGAACTCATGATCTAAGAAAGTGATAAGTTGACAGATGTTGTTAGGCGATTGCATTCTCTCAAGAACCGTTTCTTCGGAAGTTCGAATCTCCATGGCCACCTGCATTTCTTGCAACGTTAACCCATTCTTTTGCGTCCGCTTCTACTAATAAAAATATACTTAAACCATCAATCTTATTCTCTTATAGACCTCATAGTGTACTTGTTTGTCATACTGCCTTTCGCTGTTGCTCGCCAACCTAGGTCGTATTTTAGGTTGAGTTTCCTTCTATCGTCGGTATTGCTGCAGTTTAGTTAAAAGCCTATTATTCAGCTGTCTGAATAATAGTTGAAAAGAACTTAGAGCACACGGCCGTGCTACTAAGCAATCTTTTTGACTTGGGTTATGACCCTCCGAACGGGTGACTCAACTGACCTAAGTCTA